TTGGGAGACCTGGTCTTTTGGCTCCAGCAGACTTTGGCCAATCTCTTCTGAAATGACCCCGGCCTATAAATTCAAAAAAGAGATACATCAATAAATGCAAAGGAAATATTCTAACCGGGAGGAAAACCAAAGATGAAGTACCTTGCTGAGTTTTTTGGCCAGGGATAGGAAGGCTTCTTCGATGGACTCCCCCTCCGTATCTGATAACCTGACCTTCTTCTTCCTGTCTCCTTTGGAACTCTTATGGGAGCCCTTCCTTTTCTGGCCCTTAGCACGGGAAGAAGAATGGCTGGCCTCCTTGGGCTTGGATTCAACCCGGTCGCCTTCAGAGAAATGGAGGGCTGAGGGAGACTTCACCTGTTTGTCTCGAATGAGGTCGTCAAAGGAAGAGCACCGAGCAGTTGAGGCCCCTTCAACTCCAATGTTTTGAGGAGGGGAGGGAGGGTTGCGATTGGGAGACCGGTTGGAATGGAGGACTTGGACATCATCGTCATCATCCTCAATGATGGTGGTCATCCTGTTGAAGTTCATGTCTGAAAAAGAGCAGAGCAACATATGACCGGTTATTTTTCGAGCCTTGTATATAAATAAAGAAAATGAAATTAAGAAGCTTAAGAGAGGATAATCAACCTGGACGAGGAGAACTGGCCTCAGCATGACCATCCGGGAAGTTTGCCCGGTCATCTTCTGCGTCATGGGTCGCAGATTCACCCCATCCGGATTAGATAGCCGGAATACCCAGCCTCCATAGGCATAAGGTTTCCCGGTCACAGGATCACCCTTGAGAAGTTTCTCGCAGGCGTCCTCAAGATCTTTGGTGGGCTCCGGATGAACCCTTTCAGGTTTTATAACCCGGTCAGCCCACTCAGGGTTAGAAAAAGGAAATTGGTCAGGGGGGAATTCGACAAAAACAAATCTTTTCTTCCATCTTTTGTGGCTAGGGGGAAGACCGGTCACAAAACTCCTCTTATTACGAGAATGAAAATAAACAAAGCCCGGGCAATTACTAGTCCCGGGCAGGACTTCGTACATGTGGAGGAAAAGCTCAAGGGAAGGGTTGATTTTAAGATTTTCACAGATATTAACAAAACAATTTAAGAACCGGTGAGCATTTGGAGTAAGCTGACCGGGCAAAATATGAAACTTTTTACAGATTTCAATAAGGAGGGGGCGGAGAGGAAAAATAATACCTCCCTCCAGAGACGCAATATGGAAACCCAACCGGGTTCCCTGGTGGGGTTCAATGATGTTGGGCCAGGTGGTTGTGGAAAGGACTTTGTAGCCCGGTGGAAGGATGGTACGGACCTCTGCCAGAACCTTTTTGGTAACCCTAGAAGATTCTTTGAACACCGGTCTGACATCAAGGGCTAGGAAGCCCAAGGATCCCAGTCGTTCCTCCCATTGCTCCCAGCTAAGGACCTTGGGATTGAATCGACCGGGCA